TATGAATTACTTAGTTATGTGTAGTAATTGGGTAGTAATGGCCTAGTGGTAAGAGCAGTGCGCTTGTGCTCTAAAAAGGTTGTAAGTATCCAGTTCAATCACCACAGCCACCACTCTGAGTTCCTGAGCAAAACCCTTAACCCCACACTGATCCCCAAGGGGATGGGTCAAATGCAGAGAGTGAATTTCCCCATTGTGGGACAATAAAGGGATTTACAAATGCGTATAGCATTTATTAAGATGCATCCAAACAATGCAGTTCTCTTCTTTTTCCAAATCAGAACAGCTCAGTTTAAGTCCTAGACGTTTTTTTTCATGAATTGCCAATACACACACACATAGGTTTTTGCCAACAAATAAAACCTGAAACTTAATTAACTTAACAAGAACAATGTTAGAATAGCCCAGATTTACATAGAAGCGCATCAAAATTTTTTTCACAAAAGTACACAGTCATTTTGGAAATGCTAAACCAATTATCTCCTTTGAACAAAAAATAACACATTGTTTCCACTTTGTGTTTTGTTTTGCTTTGGTAATATATGAAATGTCTTGGAGGAAAAAGTGCTTTGTTTTACATTTCCCTAAGTATCTTAAAAATAGCAAAGGACTGAAAGAACAAAGCAAAACCAACATGATTCAAAAAGGAAACTGAAAACCTGTAACTTTCATGAGTGGCTTTATATTGAAACATATTAAAAGAGAGACCGAGAAAATATCAGTCTGTATAACCTTCCTGGTATGTTGAATGAATGCTAAAATGTTAATAGATAACTCAGTGTGCAACATTTTAGATTGATTGTTTGATCTTCTGCAGAAGAGAAAATCATCACTTATTGTTGGATTCACTCCTCCCGTTCCACTAGGGGGCTCTATAGTTTCCTTTGGAAGGGATTAGTAGAAGGAACGGCAAACCGGAAGTAGCTTCCGGTGTCGTTAGCTTTACCAAGAAAGCTAAATTCAACAATAAAACTTACAGATGACCTTACCTTAATTATTGCCCAACGTGGTAAGTCTATGCTAAATGTTGTAAGCAAACGGGAGATATGTTTTTGTTCTATATTTAGGTTTTGGTCGAAAATAGTTTAGTGCTAACAAAGATGCTAGCGGGTAGCCGCTAATTAGCGATATGCTAACGCTATTTACTGCATGTTCAATGTTGATGTCTGTTATGATTAGAGATGTTTTAAGAGTGAAATCTATGCATATTATTCAAAGCTTATGTTTATGTCTTGTTTTATTTAGGTTGTTTTAATTTGAATTACATATAATACTAAGTATTGCAATTTTGTTTTACTTTACAGTTTAACCGGCATGGCCGTGTAATGCACCTGGCAATTAATAATAATAACAACAAGAACAAAGACTAATTTATGTTCTTCGTAACATAAAGTTAAACACGAGGCAACCATGTCTGAAACCAAAGATTCTTCAGGAGAAACAGAACTTGCAATACTAAAGAGGAATAGAGGACAAGCTAAATCAGCTGTAACTAGGATGATAACAGCTGCAAATGAAAAAATCAGACAAAATAAGCCAGAAGAATTAAAGTCAGTACTGCAGAGCCTTGACCTAGCCCTATCACAGCTTCAGGAGGCACATAGATGTTATCATACTAAGCTCATTGATGACATTGACAGAGAAGAGTCTGATGCCTATGAGAAGCTAATACTGATGAGTGTACATGATGTGCGTCATGAGGCCTTAGCTTGGTTGCAAGAAGAGAAAGATGAAGCTGATGATCCTCCATATGTTAATGATGAGTTGGATGTCACTACTCAAATGAATTTATTCAGTGAACCTCAAACTGACATGGAGGATAAAAATTCTGCCTCAGCAGAACTAGAAAGAATCCAAACCCTTAAAAGGAAAGAGGAGGAAAACTTTGAGCTGATGCTTAGGCTGAAAAGGGAGGAGTTTGAGCTGGAACTCCAGAGAATGCGCCACAAGGCAGAGCTAGACGCACAGATGCTACATAATCAGCAAAAGATTCAAGCACTAACTGTAGATCTCCATTCTACACCTAAATCTGCAAAAATCCCTACTATAACACAATCGTCTCCGGCGCAGTTAGCGGATGATTCGATCTCACAACTACTAGAGTTTTCAAGGCAGCAATATCAAGCCCAAGTAGACTCTCTGAGGCTCCCACCAACAGATATGATAAAGTTTGATGGTGACCCTCTCCAGTACTGGAAGTTTATGAGGCTTTTCACTGCAATGGTGGATAAAGAGTCTGTTTCTGCAGAAGAAAAGCTAACTCGTCTGCACCAATACACAGAAGGAAAGGCTCGAGATGCTATTAGTCACTGTCTATACAACCCCAATCCCAGCTTGGGTTTCAAGGAAGCGCTTGAACGACTAAAATCTAGATTCGGAAATCCTCATTCTATTTCCCAAGCTTGGGTTGAAAAGGTTTTGAACTTTAAAGAGATAAGAGACAATATGCAGCTCAGAAGCTTTGCAGACCAACTGAGAGGCTGTAAGGACACACTTACTGCCATGAAATGTGAGGATGAGCTCAGTGGCCGCCGCACATTAGTTGAAATAATTAGCAAGCTACCATCAGATCTCAGGGCCAAGTGGTTAAACAAAAACTATGACATTGCTAAGGAAGGACGTCTACCGAAACTCGATGATGTTGTCAGCTTTGTAGAAACAGAGGCTGAAAAGAGATCTGATCCAGTCTTTGGTGGGTTGATTAGCTACAAGAACCAAGAAAAGTCAAACAACTTTACGTCTCCTACCAAAGCTTTAAAGAAACCTCGTCAAAACTACCATACCAATGTGAAGGCTGCTGCAGTCCAGGAGAATAAATCTACACGTACAAAGCAGCCATCTCATTTAAGATGTCTGAAATGCTCAGAGCACCATTTCCTAAACCAGTGCCCAAGTTCCCGATCACTAACAGTACCTGAGCGCCTTTCATTTGTTAAAGAAAAAAACCTGTGTCAAAACTGTTTCATGATGGGGCACAGTGCCCAGATTTGCACACACAACTGGGTGTGCAATGTGCCTGGCTGTGGACAGAAACATAACAAATGGCTGCATCCTAACCTAACTAACAGACAGATTTCAACAGCAGACCAGGACTCCACTGATGACAACAAAACTACCCAACAAACGCAACCTGCTACATCACCTAATGTCACATGTGGGTTTGCTGGAGCTGCAAATGGTAAAGTTTGTTTACCTATTGTTCCTGTGGTTGTGAGGGGAAAAGCTTCAAACATTAGTTCTGTCACATATGCGCTACTCGATCCTGGAGCTAACACCAGCTTAGTGTCAGAGGAACTAACCAAGAAACTCAAGGTCAGAGGTAAACCTGCAAGGTTGGACCTTGATACAGTCGGAGGAAGCCGAGAAGGTATATGTACTCAAAGTGTGGATCTGGAGATTGATTCTCTATATGATGGCAACATTTACACACTCAATGGTGTGAGAACACTTAAGAAATTAAACATAGGGCTTAGCTGTCTCGCCACGCCTGACGAGGCAGCAAAATGGGATCACCTTATGGACATCCCTATTCCCACCATTAAGTCAAATGATGTGCACCTTGTAATTGGGCAAGATGCTCCACGTCTTCTCAGAGCTGAAGAGTACCATGTGGGTGGTGATAATGACCCTTATGCCACCAGAACAGTACTTGGTTGGGCCATAAATGGACCTATTGATTACAAAGAAGGTAGGAAGTCTAAGGCCTTCTTCCTCAAGTCAGATCAAAATCTACAGACACAAGTGGAAACATTTTGGAAGCTTCATGACCCCACTCAAGAGCACAATCTGTCAATTAATGACCACAAGGTGATCAAACTGTGGGAAAACTCACTTTCCAAAGAAGGCTCACACTATGTGTTAGATATACCTTTTAAGAAAGAGACCGTGACACTGCCTAACAATATCAACTTAGCAACACGAAGACTACAGTTACTGGAACGGAGATTAGTGAAAGACCCAGACCTGAAAGAGAAGTATGTGAAGGCTATGAAGTCAACCATTGATAAAGGGTATGCAGAAGAGGTCCCGGCATTGTCGCTTGAACGCAATGATGGGAAGGTTTGGTATCTCCCACATCACCCAGTAACTCATCCTCGCAAGCCTGGAAAGGTGCGAGTCGTCTTTGACTGTGCAGCTATGTACGATGGATTATCTCTCAATGACACCATCCATCAAGGACCAAATCTGACAAACAAATTAATTGATGTGCTGATCCGCTTCCGACAAGGGCCTGTTGCTGTAATGGCGGACATTGAGGGCATGTTCAATCAGATACATGTAACTCCAGAACACAGAGATGTGCTGCGGTTCCTGTGGTGGAAAGGCCACAATCCTAACGATGAGGTAGTTACTTACCGTATGACGTCCCACCTCTTTGGCGGGGTGTGGTCTCCAAGTGCAGCAAGTTTTGCATTAAAGAGATGTGCATCAGATCACGCACATCTGTATGATGCAGATACCATATCCACTGTGGAACGCAACTTCTACGTGGATGACTGCTTAAAATCTCTAGACTCACCTGAACAAGCCATCCATCTAGCAGCGCAGCTGGTTGACCTACTTAAGCAAGGAGGTTTTCGCTTGACAAAATGGACAAGTAATTCAGCCAAGGTCCTGGAGTCTATCCCAGCAGAGGAACGTGCAGATCAAGCACCATCGTTGGACGTGGATGGAGATCCATCATTGGAAAGAGCTCTAGGGCTGCTCTGGGACACAAAAAATGACATTATAACCTTCATCGTCAAAGTCAAGGAAAAGCCAAGAACAAAAAGAGGCCTGCTAAGCACAATTAGTTCAATTTATGACCCCCTGGGTTTTGTAGGCCCATTCATTTTACGTGGAAAAGCACTATTTCAGACATTATGTCGCTTGAAGCTAGGTTGGGATGAAATCATCCCAAGTGATATTGCGGAGCAATGGGGCAGGTGGTTAGATGACCTGCCAAAACTATGTAGACTACAAGTGACTCGATGTCTCAGACATAAAGATCTTACTGCAGCTCCAGTTACCATGCAACTTCATCACTTCAGTGATGCTTCTGAGTTGGGCTATGGTGCTGTTAGCTACCTCAGAGTTGTGAGCAACAATGACATCAACTGTAATATCGTCCTCTCTAGGAATAGGCTGGCTCCTGTCAAACCAAGCACAATCCCAAGGCTAGAACTGGCTGCTGCTGTAGTAGCAGTACAGCTTGATCAAAGGATCCGTCAAAGCTTTGAGCTACCCCTTCTGGATTCTGTCTTCTGGACAGACAGCACTATTGTCTTGCACTACATCAGAAACGAAGACAAACGTTACCAAACCTTTGTTGCAAATAGAGTTTCACAGATCCGTGAAGTATCACAAGTGACACAATGGAAACATGTTTGCACAGAACTAAACCCTGCAGATGATGTTTCAAGAGGATTGTCTGCTGAAGAACTCATAAACAGCAAGCGCTGGCTCAAAGGCCCTGCTTTCCTGTGGCAGGAAGAACAGTTATGGCCTTGCCAGCCTGAGCTAGGAAGTTTACCTCCAGATGCAGAGGTAAAGAAGTCAAGTCAGACATATGCAATGTCTTCCAAACTCACCAGTCAGTCAGCAATTGATTGTTTCATCCAGAGGTATTCTTCCTGGTACAAACTCAAACGAGCAATCGCATTGATCTTACGAGTGAAGAATATTCTGCGGAAGAAGACTGAGTTAAGACTGTGCTCACCAATAACACTGAATGAAATGAAGCAGGGGGAAATTGCTATCATCGACTATGTCCAGCGCACCCAATTTACATTCCCAAAGAAAGAAGAAAGCCTCAAGAAGTTAAATCCAGTGCAACTTGGTGATGGGTTACTCCGCGTTGGAGGCAGGCTCACCAATGCTCCAATACCTGAAGCAGCAAAACACCCAGCAATCTTACCTCAAAAAAACCATGTCAGCAAACTTGTCATATGGCATTTCCACAAACTCACAGGTCATTCTGGAGTTGAAAGGGTACTGGCTGAGATTAGACAATCATTTTGGATTATCTCGGGCCGTGCAGCAGTGAAGCAAGTCCTAGCACAGTGTGTACCTTGCAAAAGACAAAGAGCTCCAATCAGTACTCAATACATGGCAAACTTACCTGTTGATCGTGTCACTCCATGTCAGCCCCCTTTCACTCATGTTGGGATTGATTATTTCGGGCCCATTAATGTCAAAAGGGGACGGAGTGAGGTGAAGAGATATGGCTGTCTGTTTACCTGCCTAACAATCAGGGCCATTCACTTGGAGGTGGCACACAGCCTGGACACAGAGTCCTTCATAAATGCTCTTCAACGATTCATGGCTCGTCGTGGGACACCTCAATTGATACGCTCAGACAATGGGACAAATTTCATAGGTGCCCGCCATGAATTGCAGAAGGCTCTAAATGAATGGAACCAGCAAAGAATTGAAGAGCATCTACTCCAGCGAGAAACACAATGGAAGTTCAATCCTCTTGCAGCCTCACATATGGGGGGCGTATGGGAGAGGCAGATTCGTTCTGTCCGCTCCATTCTCATGAGCCTTGCAGGACAACAGATTTTGGATGACGAAGGATTAACAACACTTTTCTGCATCATTGAAAACATTGTGAATGGGAGACCACTAACAAAGGTGTCAGAGGACCCAAGAGACAGTCAGCCTTTAACTCCCAATGATTTGCTTCTTTTGAGACCAGAATGCCCTCTGCCTCCTGGACACTTTTTAAAACAGGATCTGTATCGTTGCCGCTGGCGCCAAGTCCAGTATTTGGCAGACATTTTCTGGGTTCGGTGGGTTAAGGAGTACCTACCCAACCTCCAGCAAAGGCAGAAATGGAACCACCATTCCAGAAACTATCAGATTGGAGATCTTGTACTGATCCTGCATGAATCCACACCTCGCTGTCAATGGCCCCTCGGTTTGGTTACAGACGTCAACATTGGAGATGATGGACTGGTGCGATCAGTGCAAGTAAAGACTCATAGAGGGACTTACATCCGCCCCATACACAAGCTATGTTTGCTAGAAGGAAATATGAATGAGTAGACTTTAACTACCTTTAGCTTGTGTTATACTATGAATGACTTTGACTTAATCTCACGTTCAAGATTACTTTAAACTGTTAGTCATTCCTCGAAGTCCAATTATTATCATATACAAAGGTTTTTTTTGTGACAGGGTTGAATCTAATTGGTTAACATTTGTTATCTAAGTCTAGGTTGTCGTTCACCAATTTTTTTGTACTGGGATGACCATCTGTTGAGGTCATCGGGGCCGGGATGTTGGATTCACTCCTCCCGTTCCACTAGGGGGCTCTATAGTTTCCTTTGGAAGGGATTAGTAGAAGGAACGGCAAACCGGAAGTAGCTTCCGGTGTCGTTAGCTTTACCAAGAAAGCTAAATTCAACAATAAAACTTACAGATGACCTTACCTTAATTATTGCCCAACGTGGTAAGTCTATGCTAAATGTTGTAAGCAAACGGGAGATATGTTTTTGTTCTATATTTAGGTTTTGGTCGAAAATAGTTTAGTGCTAACAAAGATGCTAGCGGGTAGCCGCTAATTAGCGATATGCTAACGCTATTTACTGCATGTTCAATGTTGATGTCTGTTATGATTAGAGATGTTTTAAGAGTGAAATCTATGCATTTTATTCAAAGCTTATGTTTATGTCTTGTTTTATTTAGGTTGTTTTAATTTGAATTACATATAATACTAAGTATTGCAATTTTGTTTTACTTTACAGTTTAACCGGCATGGCCGTGTAATGCACCTGGCAATAAATAATAATAACAACAAGAACAAAGACTAATTTATGTTCTTCGTAACACTTATTATATCCAAAAAATGTAAGGAGAGACATCTCAGTAACAACCATGCTCTGCCACTCCCTGACCTGCTTCTTTCCTCTCCACATCAGGTGCAAGAAGGTCCCTAAGTTTCTCCCACGCATAGAAGAAAGGCCAAATTTTGTAAATACGACTTTGTAGCAGAAAGCTTTCTTTAAAACTCTGAAGCAGCCATCACTTTTCTTAATGAGACGATCCACGTAAACTGAGTTCCCAGACTAAAAATCACATGTATGTCATCCAGGAATAAGTATGCTTTATATAAAAACTGGAAACCATTTAAATTAATTTCAAACTGGGATAGTTAATACAGATTTTTCCAAGAAGTTGGGGAAATGTGACTTTTTCAGGTCATGTATATCAAAAACACATTACAAAACATATATTTTCAGTAAATGTGGTAAATCCCTGGAAATCTTTTAATCAATGCATGTGAAATAAAACAATTTCTATAATTAAAAATTGTATTTTTTGTATTTTACAAAAAAAGCTATCAAATAGATTTTTTTCTGTATAAAAAATGGTTCTATTTATATGTATTTGGCTTCTTTTCTGTAGTTTTTAGAGCATTTCAATTTTGGGAAGATGACAGACATTTTATGGCAACTAGGTAAAATTGTTACCCTCTCCTAAAAGTACCTTTGTGTGTTTTCGCTGTCAGACCTAGATTGCCTGAGACTTTGCTCCGATCCATTTTCTTTTATACCACGTCCAATGCATTGACATTTGTTATAAAAGACTTTTGTAAAGGAAAATTCTGGAAAAGTCTGCATGCATTTTTGTCTCTTGCAGGAAAAGTACATATTTCATCGGTATGTAAAGCTTTGAGTGTGATGATTATTTGGAGAATACATTGGAGCATACATTCAACATTCTGGAGATTGTCAGCCAGTTTTACTACAAACCAAGCTAGTTTATGAATCAGTAAGGCAAAACAGAGCAAAACAGTGACAAGTGAAGTGAATAACATTGAATTTTTCTTCATCATAACAGTCTTGTTGATGGGATGAACTCAGATTGTTTTAATGAAATCAGACAATGTAACAAGGAGATTGGTTCAGCTGTATGAAACATTTATCAACATAGCCTTGCCCCTCCCTAATATGCTATGTGCAACCCACTGATTTCATTACAGTAAGTTCTATAGAAAACTGTGATTCCCCTTCTATAGAAGGCTGTGGGAATCATGTCTGTTAAAACATCCTCGGTACAATACGAAGTTAGACCTGCTAAGGCATGTTTTTATTTTGGGGATTAATTCTTCTAAACTTTCATTTAGACTTTAAACTTTCTTTCACAGTATTTATTGTTAAAACACTTTACAGTACAGTATAAAATTTTTTTTTATTTTGTAACTCTTCACTATTATGTTATTCTTATACACTTTTCTAAAATCTACATTTTTGTGCCCATTTTTCTATAATCTTTTTGCTGCTGTAACACCAGAATTTCCCCATTGTGGGATAATAAAGGGATTTTCTATTCTATTCTATTCTATTTATCAAGGCATTTCTTTGTTGCTGATTCCCTTTTAGACATTGAGCATTAACTCATCCTGCTGCATCTGTGTTTGCTCTTAACTGACCGAAGGAGAGACTTCAAAAATAAAATAAAGCTATAACTGACGATTCTACAAAAGTGACTACATTTTGTTGCTTTTATAGACTTAAAAGAAACTATAAACTGTGTCAAATTTAAAGGGAATCTTAAATACTTTAATATGGAAGAATAAAAGAGAAAACTGCAATAGAGAAAGAGCCTTCTTTTAGCCAAAACCTGTCACAAAATTAAAACCATACAACAAAATTTGAAGTTATTTAAAACCAGACAACTTTTATTAAAATTCTAAAAATTTTACTAGGTCATTTTTGAGTGTTCTGTATCTTAAAAATCTGTAAATGATCTTTGGGATGATTGCTGTTTTTTTTTTTTTTGTTTTTTTTTTTTTGCACCTCAGATCTTAAATGTTTTGAATCTGTATATTTGTCTGAATGACAAATTACCATGGCTATCATCTACTTATATTCAGATCTTTATGTTACTTTTTTACTCAAGATGATAATATAACATACTGTCAGGCCATCTAATACTAGGCTTCTACAAGCTGAATTTAAGGTAAGAAAAATGAGCTACAGTCTAAGCAAATTACACTGATAAGCTAAATTAGGGTCTATAACTAAATGCACCTATCAGTATTTAAAGTCAGTTTTTCAAGCTTTTATGACTTTTTGGGATTTCAGTAGAAGAATGATAACATATGAATTAAACCCCCTACTGAAAAGAATTTATGAAGGAGATACACAACTACTCTGGGGAACAAATATGGCTACAAACTGCTTTATGCTTGACCAGCAGAAAAGGGGAAAAATGTTTTCAACACAGTGAAAATTGCTTTGAGATGAAATAGAATGACGGCCCAAATGCTGAGAGGATGTACAGTCAGCAGTGTCACCTTGTGCAAAATCAAAAGAGACAAATTGTGGTAATAGCTTTCAAGTGAGAAAACAAGGCAGAATGAAGGATCTGTGTGTGCAATAAAGGAAAAAAAATCTCCACCACTTTACCAAACCCCTGGTTCTGTGCGGGCTGCTTGGAGATAGCAGTATGCACCGTGTCAGGTTGCCATAGGAACCAGGATACATAGTGATTTGAACAGACTCAGACGTCTGCGCCAGGGTTTCAATGAGATCGATATGTCAGAGCAATCAAAAGAGAAGGAACCTTTGCTGACTGCATCTCTTCTGAAGCTTAACATTCCGTTTCTACCTCCACAGAAGTCACAAGAGACTGAAATAAACAGAAGGATAATAGCACAAAATAAGATTTTGAGGGGTTTAAGGCGGTGTTATGGGAGACAGGTTAAAAATAACACAGCAACAACCCAGCTCTGACAACAAAGCAAAACCTAGCCTGTCTATTTGACCTTTTTTTTTAGCACTTCTCAAAATGATCAGTGATATTAATCCACTTCCTCAAAAGCTTTAGGATTATCATCATGCAGTCATATTACAAAAAAAAATATATATGGTACTGTTTTGAGCCCAATGCTCAAATTAACAGCGTAGTGTCCATCAACCCCTGTCAAGAGCTTTCTGTGAGATATTCTTGTTCTCCGTTGCCAGCTGGGTGAACGAAGGTCGGAATCAATATTTCCGTGAAGTGTCCAGATTGAAAACGGGCATGACAGAGACACCCAGGGGGGAGAAAACAACTGAGAGGTAGGAACCCACAGACGGGAACAAATGATCCAGGCTGTCATCCTGGCTTATTGACTGCTCTGTTCGGACTTACTGATGCAAGACAAAACTGCTGAAAAGTACATTGTCTTTTAATGACCTTTTCAGCCATCGCTTCCGCATGGGCTGCAGACAGCTAGCCTGGAACATTTGGCATTTTCACCGTCTGCACATGGTTTGGTAAACAAAAGGTATCTTCTGGTATCCAACTCTAATATGGGAAAGCAATGACATTAGAGCTGCTTAGCGAGGCATGTAATTGTTCTTGTGATTATAAAGCAACACTAAAGCATGTGTGACCCTTAAAAAAGGGAGTTTTTATAGTTCTTTTTCCTCCACTCTCTAATCACTGTTTACATCTCTGAGACTGTAGTTTGCCATTAATACCCAGGATCTGATTTATGACTTTTGCAACCCAGTTGAGTTGATCAGTTGTTTCTTACCTTTTGAATGGTAACATGCATAACATTAAAAATGTGTTATTTTCTCAAATTAAAGTCTGTCTGTAGTTAGGTTTAGTTTCTTGACATGAAGATAAAAACAGTCTGCTTACTTGTTCTTTTTTATTTGTGTTGTAAAAAATACCAAAGCATACAATTATAGTCATAAAAGGATATTAATTAAATTATAGAGTATTATATATCAGAACTTGACTGCTTGCACAAGTTCTAAAAAAAAGTCAAGTAGCGGCATCCAGATCTGCATGCAGCCACTTTATTAGAAACATCTGTTTCATTATTAAAAAGAATGTCTCAGGCAAGAGCATGGCAAGAACTATTTACATTTAGTCAGTCAGTTATTCTGTATGTTGATCTGTTTTCCTTTTAATTCCAAACGGTTTCTCAAATTTACAGATAATGCTCTGCTAAAGGGAAAATATCAATTAACTTACAAATCTGTGGGTTAAAACTCCTTGTTATTCATAGTAATCATAGGAAAAATGGAAGAACAGATTTTAAATCTTAGCATGTTTACAACCAAGGCAGTATATCATCTCTGATGCTAATTAGCTAACGCAGCAGAAGATCTAACCTGGTGCCTGGAGGAATTCTAGAGCTAATTCACAAAGGCTTACCAAAATGATGTTTGTTAACTTAAGCGATGACATGTTAGCAGTACAACCTAATTGGTGTAGAGATGAAACCATCAATCTAACCTACTTTGTAACAATGGTTTAGGCTTGGTTTTGTAACATATTAATATCGCTTACAGCCACTGTATTAATTGGTAAAAAAAACAGTGCAAGAAGGACGTCAACATAGTTGTCCTCTCACAGCACTTTTATGGACCAATCTGGCTTTTCCAAATACTGTTTTGTTTGAGGTCTAATTAGATGATTACAAATTTGACTTAATTAAATTTGTTAAAATGACTGCAACAAATACCACAAAAAAGTTAATTCTGTAGGTTCTTTAAAAAAGAATTGAAAGTACATGCTCTATATATTAAAATTTGTTGGAACTCAGTGTTTTGAGGGATTAAATTAAAAATATATATACCGGTATATACATTTTTCTTTCCGTTTTCAACCTGTCAATTACTCTTAGAGCTGCTTAGGTTTGCATTGTAAGTTTTTGAGCTCTGGATTATTGACTGGTCCATTAGATAAAACTTTTCCCACATCAATCAATACTTGGCCATTCTACAAGCAGCTTCAAAACCTTTTCCTGTCATTTTTCTTTTCTAGTATGTGTTAATAAGTAATGAAAGTGAAAATGGCTGTTTCAGATATTTAGGTAAATAT